AGTACGAAAATGATGCGATATAAAATAGAAATGACGTGATTTAGAACATGAATGAAGCGATTTAGAACAGATGTGACATGGAGCAAAAAAAAAAAAAAATAGTGTGACTCGTGAATAAATTAAACTGTTGAGAGCCAACCAGATAACAGTGATTTCAAAATGGGTATAATAAATTATAAAATCGAGCGAAGTATCATGCAGAAGCGAGAGAAACCGTACTGAATTGGTGGTCCTCTGTCGTTTCTTTGCTGTTGTTAATTGTGACCTCATCCTTCCAGATGACGTTCGAAGGAATAAGGGGCCTATCGTTTCGAAGTGACATTGCAATCGATGATGTGTCAATTTCTGACAGAAGCTGTCCAGGTTAGAATACTGTCGGAATAAGTTGCCAAAGGTAAAACAGCAGTAGGTTTAGTTCAATTTTCACTTACAAAGGAAATTGAAGGTTTTTAGCTGAACATTTTTTTGGAGAGTTACCAATTTGGTAAGGGATGTATTTACCAACTCGTTCTTTTGCGTAAGTTTTTCTTGCTTTGAAACTTTAATCAAACATTTTATTATTATTATTATTATTATTATTATTATTATTATTATTATTATTATTAAATCTTACTCCGCACAATATTTTTTTTTTATTGAATTGAGCATTTTGTTGCACGATTATTGTCGGCGATTTCCTTGCCCGAAGTTAGATAAACATAAACATCCCTCAGAGAACAAGAACGTGATACAGTTTCAAATCAAATATGTCACCCATCGCTTATTAAGAGACACTTTCATGATTCAGGTTTATTTTATTGTTTAGGCTGTGGTGGTTTCTTGAATGAAACGTCTGGGGTGTTGTATAAAGCAAATGGCGGAGACGAAGCAGAAGAGCTCTGCATCTGGAAAATGGGCAAGGCTGGAGTGAGGGACGCAGTTGCAATTTTTACATTCGAAACGATTTCCCTCCGCTATTGCAGGTAATAAAAAGCGGTGTGTAATTGCAAGAGATGCTCAAACGTACAACTTCACTCGTAGAACCACTCGACTGCCCGATATAGTCGTATTGGAAAAGAAGAGCAGAGTGTGCCAAATCATCGATGTGGTATGTTTTTTTGATACTCGAATTGCAGAAAAAGGACGAGAAAAGGTCGACCACTACCAGGACTTAAAAGTGGAAATACAAAAAAAATGTGGAGCTGCAAAAGCGTATCTGTTATTTGTATAGGTAATAGCATGATTTGTAGTGATATTTGGTATAAATACCACCAGTGATATTTCAAAATTGTTATACATTTTCACGAGCCGTTAGGCGAGTGAAATTTGAGACAATTTTGAAATATCACGAGTGATATTTATGCCAAATATCACGTACAAATCATGCTATTATTTGTTTATACTACTACCCACGAAAGGTTTGTAATTTTCACATGTAGGTATTTCAAATTAAACTGAAATACCACTGCTCTAAGCCAATCAAATTGCAGTAATTTCTCATGTAGTAGTATAACAGTTGTAATTGGGGCACTTGGGGCAGCGACCAAAAACTTGATGATGTGGGTTACTAAGATAGGAACACGTGGGATCTTGAACTTATTCCAGGAAGGCTGCTTGTTAGGAACAGCAAAGGTCTTAAGAAGGATCCTAGACATCTAAGGCTATAGGAAATAGCTTGATGACCTAGGAATACGTAACCACCGATGCAACTATTCGTGTGAGATATATATATACAAAAAATAATAATAATAAATGACTGTAATAATAATAATAATAATAATAATAGCAATAGTAATAATAATAATAATAATAATAATAATAAAACATACTTTATTAAACTCTTCTCGAATTGAAAATTAAATACAAATTTAGTATAACTATAGTTAAAAAAGACTTCTTGGTGGTCTGGTGGTTTTCAACAGAGCAAATGTAAACAACTGCCTATAAACTAAAAAATGAAAATTTCTATGTGCATCCCAATAGTAAAGTATCTATAGCTGTTGATAATAATAATAATAATAATAATAATGTTAATAATATTAATAATAATAACGATAATGATAATGATGTCGTGGATAATAGAAACGATGATGGTGACGATAACGATAACTTATGATAGGCGAGTTACAACCCATTTCATGCCAAAATGCTGAGTAAACTGATGTACAAACCACGGAAAACCTTTTCTTCTTGGTTTTCTTCCTCTTTGCTCGTCATTTAACTTTCCAAGCATATTATGTTCATCGCCTTAGAGCAATTTCCGTATGACCTTGAAATAAAAACGCGTAAACAAAACAGCAAGAACAAACGAACGGAAAGAGAGCGATTTGGTTTATTGAATGTATACAAAGGCACATGGCTTTTGGTTGGTTAAGCGAACGCTCGAACAATGCCTCCTCCATATTATTGGTTTTCTTTGACCAGAAAACGAAGAGTCCATGTTTTGATCTTTTCATCTGTTGGCTGATAAAACATATAACGAACACTTACCGAAAACATTTTCCATAGTCACACGAAAATCGCTCTAGCAATTCAAATAACAAATTAAACAATTTAATTGGAACAAAGATCTACACTCTCTCCTACCCATTTTTAACAAGGCTCATCTGTGCCATTTTTTATTTCTTTCATTTAGTGAACACCTCATGCTAATTAAACCAGATGGCTCCAAGATCTTCAACCAGGAAGGTTGCAATTCTTCTCACTCCGCTGGCACTTCTCTTGAAGTTCCATTTGGAGACGCAGAACACCTCATACTTGATATTTCTCTTGAATATAGATGGAGCGTGGTTAACGTCAAGTACAGCATAGTCGGTCAAACACTTGACTCAGGTTTGTAACCCATGGCATACCACACATGTATACTTGCATAATAATGAATACAAAATCAATCATATATACCTTATCATTCCCAAAATTGTGTTAACCTATCACTCCGGTAGGGATCATTTTACGTTTCTGGGAAACTGCCCACCTACCCCTCCCCTACATTTTGCCCTAAGTAAGAACTAAGCGTTTAGTTAATGTTGGTTTAGGGCAGGGGTAGGTGGGCAGTTTCACAGAAACGTAAAATGATCACTTATTCATCTTCCTTGGCAGAAAAGGTTAAAGTTAAGTTGAGGGGACTGTTTTGTAGCATAAATCCTTTTCAAAAAGCTTTGTTTTCATTTTTATTCACTTCATTTACGATTGAATGATAAAGATGACATATAACGTAAATACACGATCGAGTAAAAGAAGAATAGAAACGGCACAAAATTAACACAAGGTATAATTACAGTGTTTGTTAAAGCTCTTTCAATTTTTTTTGTGTGATAGATACGAAACAAGTTAACAAACACAGAAAAATGCGGTCTGTGAAAAGATGCTCTACAAAAGCGTACTCGGAAACTTCTCAATTTATGCTATTCATACTTTAAGACCCAAGGGAATATTTGTATCCGAAACATTATTTAGCATTAAAATATTGAATCGTGTAGTACTACTTTCGGCACAATTAACTGTAACAACAATTTGTTCCTTGCAGTTGATGTTATTTAACTCTAAACGGCAGAGGTTGAGCTATTTTCAGTACAAAAGCTCTATGGTAAAGCTCCCATGAAGTAATCTTTCCGCGTATAGTACAGGTCTGCAATACCACGGAATACGAAGAGCATGCCATTGCGATTTATTCAACTGCGAGGATCATTTCCACTTCATATCGTTATCCGCAGTTCAAATTATGCGTCATTTCATATTATTTCTATCCATGTATTTTAATATTAAAATATTATTATCATTTATTTTATATTCTAAGCGGAAACTGTCTCCTCCTGGAATATAACAGTATCCAGTATAACCTCATCTTCAGCGTTGGTATATTGGCCAAACCTTCCACTGCCGCAGTCTGTCAGTTACTATTTGGTGAGGTTCAAGGAGCTCTCCAACAACGTCAGTAGGCTTTTTAAAGCCAATAGCAACTCCCATTACACTAACCTGCTCAGGAGTTTTACAGCCTATGAAGTCCACGTATTCGCTGTTACGTCAAGCGGAGAGAATGCTACATACGCAAGCAATGCAGTCTCCATAGTAACGGTAGAAGGAGGTAAGGACCTCTATCAGCGTATACAATTGGCTACATTACACCACCAATGACGATTCTTCAGCAAAAACACAAGACATTAATTACCACGATGTACATATCATGAAAAATCAAGTCACCCGCCGATAATTCCGACACTTGTCATAGCTACAACACTCATCACGGTCACAACACTCGTTACAGTCACAACACTCGCTATAGCCAAAATACTTGTCACAATCAAAACACTCGTCAAATTTACAACACTCAGCGTCACAACACTCGTCAGAGCCACAGTACTCGTCATGCAGTGTTCAACATATTCCTGCATTGGTGTGAAAACAGCAGCAATGAGGAGCTGTAATCGGTCTGTGTTGCACTTCGGTTTAAATCATATTTGAAATGTTTATCAGGTTTTACAGGCCAGAAATCCTAATAAAAGCCAGAAAATGCACGATCCAGAGAGTCCACATTTTGTTATAGGAAGTACCAGAAATACAAATAGCACTATGCTACTTTACCGATTAGCTCAGTTGGTTGGTGACAAAACTTTCGGGATTTTAAAAGAACTCAGAAGATTTTTTTTGTGTGTGTGTGTCATTTGCTTGTAGACACCTGCAAAACTTTTGGGCAGGTTCAAACCCTGTTTTCCTAAGCTACTCTGTGTTGGCATTACCACAAATCAGTCTCGCTGTAAAACCATTGTTTCCATAATTGACCCCGTGAAGATGAAAAAAATTCTAAAAGGCCATTCCATTGAAACCCTTATCTTACTGCCAGCAGGAACTAAGAACTAGCGGTTACGACCTCAATCCTCAAATAATCTACATTTCATTTAGTTCCCAGCCGTGCACCATCGAATGTCAGAGTTGAAAACCATGGGTTGAATGAGTTCTTGGTTATATGGGACCCCCTTCCTATCCAGTACGCCAATGGCCGCTTATTAGGGTACAACGTTTACTACAAAAGTCCCCAGTACTACTACTATTCGGACACCATTGTTAGAGTCAACAATACAAATATACCGCGAGCAATTCTGCCGAATGTTCGGCCTGGAGAACGTTACCAAATTTCAGTGGCTGCTTTCACTGCTGTTGGAACCGGACCGAGGTCATCCCTTGTCTATGAGACGAAAGGTAAATATACGTTTCTCACTAACTCATTAGGGTGACAATTTCTACTTTGTTAAACAGTACCCATTTCTTTCGGATGCTTATCTGGCTCAAAATTTGATTTGACTTTCCAAAGATTTTGCCGGCTTTATAAATAACTTTGTGATTAAAAGTTAGCGCATTGAACGTGAGAAAAGAAAGAGCTACTCATAGACTAGGGTTGTTCTTTTGCAAGCCAGGGTTGTCTTATCTGCCATACTGGCTCTTATCAAAAGGGGTTCTGCGTAAATTATGACTACAAGATTAAAAATAATAATAATAATAGTAATAATAATGATAATATTAATAATAATAACAATAATAATAAAAAATAAATTAAAAAAATTAAAAATAAATTTAAAAATATGTAGAAAAATAAAAAAAAAAAGTCGATAAAAGAGAAATTGCGTATATTTAGAAAAATCATAATTTGTTACTCCGAACAAGGGAGCTACTACGGTAAGTTACGCAAGTGTATCGATACGAAAAGCTAATGGCTAATGAAGTCTAAGCTGAGAAAGTTAGCTTTTCCACTAGCCTCCCACGCAAACGTTCTTAGGGGTTCGTCACTCGTTCCTACCCCACGAACGTGGGAGAGGAATGATTGCGTGACGAACCCGTACGAACGTCTGCGTGGGAGGCTACTTCCTCACCCGTTTTATTAGCGTTGACTTAGGGCTCGTTACATGAATGTCGTCCCTTTGTCTTGTCTTGTAAGTATGAATGGTGCGATTTCTGATATAGAAATGAGGAATTTATTAATTTACATTTGCGGAATTTGCCTTGTTTCTCCAAATCCACCCAGCTGATTCTTCGACAAGAGTTTGTCTGTGGTGTATGATATGTTGCACAGATACTTTTGGAGACTGAATTAACCACCAAAATAAATGGGCCATTTTAGAAAAACGATAAATAAAGTAAATATCGTTCTCTAATACGCAATTACAGTTACTTTAATTATCTTTCTTTTATGTATTGTCTTGTTTTAAGGTTGTGAAGGTTCTGTGAATCAGTCGTTTGGATGGCTAAATTTCACGCAATCGAGCTACAACACCCTCACCTGCAGTATTCAAATAAATGATGAGGGTGCAATCCAAGGAGTCGTCGTAGTCTCACTGAAGTACATTTACCTCTATTATTGCAGGTAAGCGGAATTGTTCATTGTAGATCAGAAATCACGAAGGCAATGTGACTCAAGGAAAAGAGTCAAAGGAAATTGTCAAATCCAAGAACGTTTATAGCAATTATCTTTTAGTTGAAGAAAAACGATAGGGCTCAAAATAGACATTTTATCGATCGCCGTACATCAGTTTTGTAGTCGTTAAATATCATTTTGTGGTGTAGGTGTTACGTCATAGTTATCTCACCCATCCACACCACCAAGAAACTACTTTAGAATTCTTGTTTTTTTCTCTTATTTAAATATCCACATGATTTTGTCTCAATCACTTTGATTTCATTGCCAGTTTTCTAATTAAATAATAATTAGTCGCGTTCACAAAGCATTTGAGTCGCCTCATTTCTTATTCTCTGCAGCGAGTTTATCAAGATTTATGACAACACTGGCAACGAGGTTTTCCGTCGAAGAGGTTGTGATTCGTCTACTAGCGGACAGTCGGTTGAACTTCCCTTTGGGGACGGGAGTAGCATAACATTGGCGGTCTCTCTTTCACACCGATATAGCTACGCAAGAATTCAATACACGGTGATAGACAAAGCCCAAGACTCAGGTAACAAGACCCTATGACAAGTTTGCTGGAAAGATACTTGAAAAGTAAACATAAAAAAATTAAAAAAAAAAAAATGATGAGGAAAGGTTGCACCTCTCTCTCAGCTCTCTTAAAGTACTCTAGTGGGAGTAGGAGGTATCGTACACGTCCGAAGATATCTTTAAGGGAACTGATAAATTACATGTACTTTACAAAATAACTGTTTGACAGTATTTTTCTTTGATTATTCATCCACAGCACAAGTTGTGTCTTCATGGAATGTTACCATCACCAGCAAGACATCATCATCATTGACAGTACGGTGGTCAAACTTCCCTCCAAGTGTTCCAATCCAGAGTTTTTTAGTGAAGTATAAGCAAAAAAGTTCAAACGTCAGCTTGATCTACCACGTCTCATATCGGTATAACTCACACCACACTGGGAATATACTTAAAGGGTACACTTTTTACGAGGTCAATGTCGTTGCCGTAGCGAATACTTCGGGGAATAGGACACTGTACTCCAGTGGGGCAATAACTGCAAGAACTAACGAAGGAGGTAAATATGCCAAAATATAACAAACAAACGAACAAACAAAAATCAATAAAGTACGATGAAACAGCAAAACATACCGGTCCGTACGATGCTCGAATTAAAAAGAAAGTTTAACTGCAGTATCGATTTCAAAAAGCCTTTTCTGCATTTGAAATTTTCATTGAACCTCTCTGGATTTACTCTTCAATACAGACGTTCGTTTGGTTCGCTATATAAGGGGGCGTTTACATGAGAAAACTCGCACCGGCGCGAGTTTCATATCAGGATGACTTTTCGATTTCTTATCACGATTTCGTACCGGAGTGAAATTCTCGCCCCAGTACAACAACCGGGGTTAACTCACGCCGACATGAAATTTTGTGGTGGTATCATGTAAACAATATAGAGCCGTGAGAAGGAACCGGAGTGGACTCGCGCCGGCGCGAATGTCGCCCCGGTGTCATGTAGACACCCCCTAAGAAACGCTGCCGAAATCGTTTTGGAGCGACGCACGTCAACTGCAAGGGAGTCTTCTACGTCTTTCAATATTTCTTGAAGTTACAGTCAAACCTCATCAAATGGGCGCTAAATGGACAGAACCAAGTGTCCCTTTTACAGAGGGGTCCGTATTATAGAAGTAGGGAATGTATGATTTTTTGGCATTTCTGGGACCAAACTAACTGTCGGTAAGGAGAAGTTAGACTGTATCAAATTTGTACTCGCTCGTGTCTTCGTGGGAGGCTTAACACTTAAGCAAGTTTAACAGTTAAAGAACAAAACCTTGTCCGGGATTTATGATAAGATATCATTTATTGTTATTATTTTTAGTTGAGAGTCATTTCTGCACTACTATCCGAGAATTTTTGGCCCTATTCCCAAAATGCCCGAGAACTTTGTTTGTTTGTTTATTTGTTTGCTTTTTAAATTATTGTAGCTTGGGAACGTAAACACTTATCACTTTAACCCCCCCCCCCCCCCCCCCCCTTAAAAAAAATGTGTCCTTTTAAATTATATTTAATTAGTCAAGTATATATAACCTTTAATTCTTTGTAGAGATTAAGTGTCACTTGCACGTTAGGTACCCCTGGTAACCATTTTAAGGTTTTTTTTTTATGTTTCTCCTTTTGTTCGTACCTTCTCACCAATACTGTCATTTTGCTAATTTGCTAATTTTCACAGTACCCAGCATTGCACCTTCGGGTTTACGAGTTTCTAGGCTGCAGTTCAGTGAATTAAAGGTGCAATGGAATCCAATACCTCAGCACAGTGTAAATGGGCGACTGCTGGGATATGTAGTCATCTACCAAGAGTATCCCTATTGGTATAGCACCCAAAACGTCAACACTAGTATATTTGGTCAGTAATTAGTTAATTTACAGTATCATATACAGTCGTTGACTCGGGGTGTGCATCGCAAGAGATCATACACCTATTTGAACTATAATTGATTGTCTGTGTTTGTTTTAGTCCCCAGTAGGGCACCGTCTAATGTAAGAGTGTCTAACGTACGGTTTGATCAAGTTAAAGTGCAGTGGTATCCCATCCCTCATCAATTTGCTAATGGGCGTCTCCTCGGATACACTGTTTACTATTACGAGTATTATAACTCATACTTGAGAAAATCGGCTAGCACCAGTAATCCGTATACTAACATGGTGATATTAAGAGGTCTCAAGGCAGCAACTCGCTATCAAATAGCCGTAGCAGCCTTTACGTCTAAAGGACCTGGAACCCAGTCTTACTGGCAGTCCATAACAACAGGTGATGTTTTATGTCATAATGCTGTTAAATTTTAGTCAATTATAAAATTCTGATTAGCGTTAATCACCCTGCACAGAGAAGTCTTCTTTTCATACTCAACCTCTCTATTTATTTATAACTGTAAAAATGTGTACGAAGATAGCAATGAATTCTGAACAAATTTCCAAACTTTTGCGAGACGCGGCATTTACATATCGGCCAATAGATCTGTCATGTAGCGTAAAAAGTGACTTATATGGGGAGATGTTACCTCCTGAACAGTCATTGTAACTACCTTGTCACGGTTTTCGACGCCATCTTGACGAGTAGGCAAATGTTTGAGAAATTACAGTGATTGTATGAGAATCTAATGTCGAATAATTTCCGTAGAACGGCTGTTCTGAAAAAAAATATGATTTGTAAACTAAAGCTTCACTCCTAAGGATTCTCCTGGAAAAATTTGAGGGCGTTACATGCACTACAAGACCTAGAACAACTTTTTAAAATTTTCTATACATTTGATTGTAAGAAAGTCCCGGGAAAATTACAGACAAATATATGGAAAATCTAAAGAAAGCTTCTGGAGAAATTTAAGTACATGTACACCCCCAATTTTTTTAGGACAATCCTTTGCTTTGTAGCTTTAGGTTACAGTTGATACTTTGTTCAGAACAGCCGTTTTACGGAAATTATTCGACATTAGATTCTCATACAAACACTGTAATTTCTCACACGTTTGCCTACTCGCCAAGATGGCGTCGAAAACCGTGACAAGGTCTATTAGAAAAAGTATAACCTCAATGTTCATCAGTTCCCCGAGAGATCTGAATTCATGCTTTGGCGAGCCTGCGAGGAAGCACTGCACTTGGGGAAGTTGCCAGAAGTCACGCTAGGGCAGCACGCGAAAGGAGACGCGAGTGCGAGGTGCGGAGAAAGAAGTGGGAGCTAGCAACAATCTCTCATAAATTTTCATTTCCACCCCGGAAACCGCAGGAAACCGCAAAGCGTGAAAACTGTCACCTGAAACAAGAAATGTGTCAGCCGTTTGTCAGTTACCTGCATCAGTCACGAGCCAGTGACGCTAGCGTTCCAGGAGCAAAATATTACAATTACAATTACGAAGACAAGATTACCAGAAGAAGACAATTGGTCTGGACATTCTGATCTGGATCGTAGTCTATAAGCTTAGTCGGAGCTGCAATCCTTGAATTCAGCTGAGACGTGTCGCTTCTCCAAAAGTATCTGTGCATATATATAATCATATATATAATATTTCGCTTCGTCTGGGCAAAGCAGAAATGAAAAAGATCGTTGCAAGCCCTACTGTTCACCGCCACTTGCGGCTTCGCCATCCGGATGTGCACCAACATGGCGTCCCCATACAAAACTCTATAAATTTTGTGTAAATCATTTCTCGCTTATGAAACATTGTACTGACCTGAATCTTGGCGAGAAACTTATTTATCTCGATTCATTTCCCAGATTCTGGACTATATCTAGTGCAGTCTTTATTTTTTGATGACGCGACAGTGAAAACCAGCAATCAACAGGAGACATTTCCGGTTTGCGTTGCAGGTTGTGGAGGCAGCTTAAATGAACTGTTTGGAAACTTACAAGTCGGCCGAAGATCGTACTATTCTCATTCGCTACATTGCAATTGGAAAATTGGCAATGCAGGGATCAGCCAAGCTGTTGCACTTGTGTCATTACCGCAACTGTCTCTGTATTATTATAGGTTAGTGTGATATATTTATGAACTGCCAATTAAAAAATTACAGTAAACACCCGAAAATAATTTGGATCACACCGGAAACGCACACTAACAATGGCAAAAAGACTCCCCCCCGCCCCCTCGGGGTGGCAACATAAGTAAGTAAAGTAAAAGCTTTGTTAATGTGTCAGTGTAATAATAATAATAATAATAATAATAATAATAATAATAATGTGTATACAATTAAAATATGTAACATGTATAAATTGTATAATAAAAGAATAGGTGTATAAAGGTAGTCTCTAAGAATTGCAAAGGTTACAGCAGCTATTGTTGTTGTTTAAGAGTGACCGTAGGTCTTTTTTCCTAATGTTCTTTTTGAAAGATTCAATATTCGAGGAGCCTTTCAATTTATTATCTAGTTTCGACCATATATGAGGTATATGGTATCGTATCCATGACAATAACATAGACAGTCAGGTTTTATTTACTTACAAAAGTTAGAAACATAATGTATTAATTTGAAGTGTATTTGTTTGTTTGTTTGTTTTTTTTTTTACAGTGAATACGTTAAGGTGATTGATGGCAACGGTATCACGGTTCTCAGTCGCTATAGATACTCGTCTGTCACTCAGAAAACTTTCAGGGAAGTTTCTTTTGGGAATTCTGGAAACATCACTGTCCAGGTCTACCTAAGGCGGAGATACAGTAACTTCAAGTTACAATTTGGAATTTTAAAACAAGAATCAGGTTAGCCTTTAATCTGCTAAATTCGTTTGATGCTGCTTCAAACCCTGCTACGGAAACACACAACTCTGTGCACGCTTTGCAGCAAAACAAAGATTTGGGTAGTGCCTCTGATTTGTTGAACATTGGTTTCAACCCATCGGAATCACTAATCACTACCCAGATGTGTGTAGGGCAGTGACACATCATCACTACAGAATTTCTGCGCTCGATATTCAGACATTATTCCGCGGGGAAATTCCGATGCCACCACCCCTCCCCCCCCCCCCCCCCCATCACTCTTTTTTCCACACTCTCCATGAATGATCACCGGTCTTTGAAACTTCCAATTATAATTACTGTGAAGCTCAGAGAACCGTGAACACCTGAAAAATTTCCGGAATGTTGATTGTGTACTGGCTAATCACTGTAAAGTTCAGTATACGCGAGCAAACCTCAATCCACAATCTAATTACCGTTGCTGTTTGCGGTTTAGTTATCTCGCGCCTTATTGGCTTATTTCTCGCAACACAGTAAGATTCCATAAATATTTCTGGTGTTCACGGTTATGTGAGTTTCACAGTAACATGTTAATATACTTTGCTCTTTTTTCTTTGTTATTTAGCATTTCCATTGGCTAACTGGAGTGTTTCATTTGACGATGCTACTGCAATAAGCATCCGATTCTCTTGGAAAAACCTGCAAACACTCGTTGGTCAACAAACAAGTCATTACTTCATATTCGTCAAAGCCTCATATGGTAGTAGTTTAAACGAGTACATCGTCTCAGGAAATACTACTTCCCATGTGTTATCTGGACTATCGGCATGGAGGGAATATCGGTTATCTATTGTTGGTGTAAATTACAGGGGGAATGCCTACAATAGTACAGAGATCACAGCATGGACAGACGAAGGAGGTATGTGCATTATATTACAAACAACTTATTTTTAACCCCGTTGATTCTTTGATTTCCATAATGAAGCATTAACGTTTTCAACTCCGTTCTAGCTAACAGATCTCTATAATGTGTCCATCGTCTTGTACATAAGGACCTGATCGAAATTGTTGTGTCGATTGTCTCAATTTTGCGTGAGAGTCATTCTCCTTCTACAAATGAAATGCATTTTTTTCTCAGTCCCCAGCACATCTCCATCGTATATCCGTCTTTCAAACTTACATTTGGCTGAGGTGAAAGTTCAGTGGAATCCACCTTCCCAGTATTACGCTAACGGACGTCTCCTTGGATACAGAGTCTACTTTAGGGAATATAACTCTTATTATCATTATTATTATTATTACTCGTATTTGACAAGGAGTGTTAACACTAGCAGTGCTAATGTTACTATGGTGATATTGAGGGATTTAAAGCAAGCTACAACTTACCAAATAGCAGTGGCAGCTTTTACGTCTAAAGGCGAAGGACCACGCTCGTATTGGATGTCCATAACCACAGGTAGTGCAACGTTTGAAGCCGATACTAACTGGAAAAGTCAGACCTGTATTATTTAAGCAAACCACTAGTTAGCGGTCACACTCTTTTTAACCTTCAACTACCAAAGTCCTCGAAATAATTTCCCTGAATAGCTCTAAAACTGACCTTTATTAAGCGGACATCCCTATAGACTTGTCGGGGTCACCTTTTCCTTCGTTCCAAGAGATATTTTTTATTAGTATACACACACTCAGTGATCTCGGTGATTTGAGCAATCTGATCGGTTCGCTATCTCGGACCATTCAACAATATTCACCTCTTATAGCGAGTGGAAAATGTTTCAGCTCGGTGTTTTTCCTATTTTTTTTTTTTCAGAGAACGGCTTTTCAAAATTCTACAAAATCCTAGGGTTTACTTTTTCAGGTCAAGAAAAAGACTTTGAAGGATTAAAAACGTGTTTTTTTTTTTTTTCATTTATCATAGCTGATTTTTTTCTCTAATGCAATGTTTACAACTCCCGTTTATAATTCGCGTAGAAGAGGCCGTTTCGTGAACTCAGCGTTTTTTTTTTTTTTTATGACAAACAAAATTGAAAGAAAATGTTTGGAGAAATTTTAAGTTTCAAGTAAATAGGACAAATGCTATAGGAAAACGACGCCTTAACTCGAGCAACCGAGACGCCATGTCAACACCTTATGGGAAGAACGACACAACAGACCTTTCTGGTTATAAACTTGGCGAGTTAACAGGAAATAAAAAAAAAATAAAAAGCTCTACTTTTCTTCTCAGGTAAGAAAACAGTTCAAAATTTTAACGGTTCCGTTTGAACCATTACGCCCTTGTTCAGTGAAGTGATATTCTTGCGAATAGACCTTGTCACGGTTTTCAACGCCATTTTGACGAGTAGGCACACGCGTTAGAAAATACAGTGAATGTATGAGAATCTAATGTAAAATAATGATGTCACTAGAAGACCTAGAACCACTTTTTAAATTTTTCTTTTTATTTGTCAGTAAGAAAGTCCCGGGAAAATTACAGACAAATATATGGAAAATCTAAAGCAAGCCTCTGGAGAAATTTAAGCACAGGTAGTACCCCCCAAAAAAAAAAAAAATAATAATAAAATCTTTTAGGACAATCCTTTGCTTTGTAGCTTTAGTTTACAATTGATATTTTTTTAGAACAGCCGTTTTACGGAAATTATTCGACATTAGATTCTCACACAACACTGTAATTTCTAACACGTTTGCCTACTCGTCAAGATGGCGTCGAAAACCGTGACAAGGTCTATTCCCATGTTTGAAAATTCTGCAAAGATCTAACTTTCGTGCATGTACGTTACATGCAAATTTTTCATGCATGATTTGATCCGTCAATCAAATCGTACTTTTTAATGGTTTCCTTTCTGATTTTGAAGAGATCACTTCATGTGTATATACTAGAACAATTATTATTTTCAATCACGGTGAATAGTGGCTTTAGAAATATTTACCTCGATTTCAAAGAATAATAGTTGTAATTTATTCTTTGAAATCGAAACCTCTTGACAAGACGTACAACAGTGTGGCATTTTTGGTCTCCGGTATTGTTGTCATGGGATAAATATTTTGCTCTTCCATCATCTTTATGTTCTTGAATAACTGTTAGGTTTGTCAAACCTCTATTAAACGGTCGATCTACATTAAGGGGTAAGTAAGGTAATCTCCAAGGGTGACCGCCCATTACCGGTTTGACTCTATGTTTGTTTTAGTACCTTGAGTAAAAAAACTCTAATAAAATTATATTAATAAATGAGGACTAACATGTATTGACTGACGCGTAAAATGTTCCTTGAAAAAAAAAAAAAAGAGAGAGAGAAAAAAGGATTTACAGTAATATATATTTGGTCACACATGTAATTAACCACGGCGGTGTTTCATATGACGAACCCTTCGCGTATTTAATCATGCTTTCCTCCGCCCAATAAAATTCCTAATATTTATTTAACTTGTTGCCATTGATTATTCCATAGGTTGTGGAGGAAGTATAAATCAATCATTTGGTCAGCTACAATTTGGCCGGAAAGGTTCTTACGGTTATGTGGTGTGCACCTGGTCAATTGGAAATGTAGGAATTGAGCAAGCAGTTGCACTTACATCAATACACGAACTCTATCTGCCATTTAACTCGTGAGTTAAAAGAAACAGTGTCTTCCATCAGGAAATAAATAAGATTGATTTTTTTTCTCTTTTTTGTTTAAACCGCGCAATTGTGTTGCAATATTTAGAGCTTGTAAAATATAATATCAAAGGAAAACAATACATAGCTGATTATTATTATTATTATTATTATTATTATTATTATTATTTCATAATAAGTAGTTTCTTAGAAATCGATTTTGCGATAAATATTAGCGATAAAAAATCACGACGTTTCGACCTCTCCGAGGTCATTTTCAAGTGTATAAAAGTTCTCTAAATTAGCATAGATAAGTTAAAAGCAAGTTATAATAGATAAAAATGTAGTGAACGCTAAAATGTGATAAAATATGTAAAAATGTAAAAAGTGCTAAAAAAATATTTATAAAGTCAAAAAACAATGGAAATATAACAATGTTAACAAGAACTACTCTAAACAAATAATTTGGCGCGAATTGAATCGCACTGTTTGTTAAGACATCGCACAAAGTTTTAGAATCTTAAGAAAGTGTCAGAACAAATTTGACTGCCTTATTTTTGAAATGTTTTTTATCCAAGAACTGAAACCGACACTTAACAAACAGTGCGATTCAATTCGCGCCAAATTATTTGTTTAGAGTAGTTCTTGTTAACATTGTTATATTTCCATTGTTTTTTGACTTTATAAATATTTTTTTAGCACTTTTTACATTTTTACATATTTTATCACATTTTAGCGTTCACTACATTTTTATCTATTATAACTTGCTTTTAACTTATCTATGCTAATTTAGAGAACTTTTATACACTTGAAAATGACCTCGGAGAGGTCGAAACGTCGTGATTTTTTATCGCTAATATTATTATTTCGTTTGCTATATTAAGAACTGTGAGATGCTTCAGCGGTTCTAGATATCCATTTAAATCACGTGAGGTCTCAGAAGACTTCACTCCCGCTGTAGCTGGTCTACATCTGTATTCATAATTTTAGGCCTAGATTTTTGTTTTTTTTGTTTTTTGTTTTGTTTTTTTTTTTTAATTGAAATGAAATGTTTTAATTCGAATAAATTTTCCTAAGCTCAATTGAGTGCTTTTTAAATCGACAGGAATTGTAAATAGTGTTTTTGAATGAATATTTTTTTTTCTGTTCCTTTTTCAAGCGAATTAATTGTAAATAGGATTTTAATAGTTACCATTGTTGTCATATATCTAGTTTTTAATTTGCAAACAATACGATATAATTTAGAATTGTAAAATATTACTTATTGTTCTGATACTTACATAAAGATTGGCTTTTTAGTTATTATTATTATTATTATTATTATTATTATTACTGTTGTTGTTAATTATGATCAACGAAATGAGTAGAAATTACAAATGTGTGAGATTTGTAAATCTCTCCATGAGTTCCCTCGGCGTTTTCTCCGATGAATGCTCCACGTATTAGACATGATGAATGACATTGGCATTGACAAAAAGCAGCAACTTTATATAATCAAGAAAATGATAAATATAGCCATTAGAGCAACATATTACATCTTTTGTCGTAGAAACAGGAACTGGGATAGCCCGGACTTAATGCAATTTTGATTTCTCTTCTTTTCTTTTTTGTTTTTGTTTTTGTTTTTGTTTTTGTTTTTAATAATCCAATCTCAAGCAGCATTTGTAAATTGCCTATAAGTAGCGAGATTTACAATTGTACATTCAAAAACACAAATTAAGTTTCCATTATTACTATTATTATTATTATTATTATTATTATTATTATTTATTTATTTATTTTTATTTTTTATTTTTTATCGCGTTATTAATTTTATCAGGGGCATCTTGGCCGGGAAGCTGGACTCCATCTGACTCGATTTCGTTTCCGCAAGTGACGAACGCGTATCTGTAATCAACGATTACCTTATGTTGTATTATGTAAATGTTTTAAATATTGAATGGATGGACGGACGGATGGGTGTAGGGATGATTTGAATTGGTTGCAAAGATGTGGGGATAAAACGACATTGAGAACAGATGAGTGGAAGGATGGGTTGTCGTTGAGTGCATGGCCGCGGGTTGGATAGACACGTATGTGTGGGGAAAATGTTGTATGGACGTGTCTATGTGAAGTAGAAGAATGGTTTAATGAAAGAAGAAGAATATGATAGGATAGGATGGCTGGAGTGAGGAAAGGGTGAATTAAGATAGTGGGTGGGGCAGGGAGGAGAGGGAGAGGAGAACAAAGGAAGAAAAAAATAACTTCATGGCCCGGGGTTCTAAAAGGCAGCTTAATGCTAATCCGGCACTAAAGTTTTGTTTCGTTTTTGTATTTTACCTTCCTTTGTACTGCTTAGAGTAACATTTTGTGTTATCATTACTGTGTTTCAAAGTAAACGCTCAAAAGTATTTTGTGAGCTTGAGTTGCAGGTTCTTAGACAAGAAATTCTTGCTTGTAGTTTGGCTTTTAATCCTGGGTTAAACGTAACCGTCTTTCGAGGAACCGGGTCACGGAAAAAAGAAAAAACATGGCCGAGAATAGCTAGGTGACCACTATCAATGACAAAATATGTTTTCTTTTTCTCGTTATTTTACAGTGAATACATTAAAGTAATGGATGGCAGCGGTGCAACTGTGTTTATTCGTTATGGATACTCATCGACTCCTGAAAAACCTTTCACGGAAGTTTATTTTGGAAACTCTAAGAATATCACCGTTCAAGTCTATCTGTTTGGTAGGAACAGTAATGCCAGGCTTCAATTCGGAATTGTACAGCACGGATTACAATCGGGTTAGTTTCATCCTTTTTGTTAAACTAGCTTTAATATTGCGAGCTTTTCTTTTATTTCTTGTCATACATGTTCAACTACCTGACATAAGTGTTTAACTCTAAAAAAGCACAGATCTAAATTTTTTTGGTTCTCAGGGTTTTGTTTTAG